TTTAATTTCAATTTTCCAAAGCAGAATATTTTTCTTAGTATTTTGATACGTAAAAATCGAATTTTGGACGAGTAGTTTATGAGTTATAAGTATTTAAAGTTTAGAGAAGTGGAGTAGTGGAAAAACATTTTGCGGGGTAACCCCGTACCACTCCACACATAAAGAAATCACTCGGTATAAGTTTCAAGCATGCATTTATCAGTCAAATCTACGGTTATTTTTTTTTTCAAAATTTGATCTTGAAGACTTGGAATGCTTTTTTTTTAAATATGACTTTATTGTGAAATATTACGATCTATACAGGGTTGTACAATAAGTAATAATTATGGTGAAAAGAAAGAAAAACTATAAACTAAAGATAACATGTTAGGAAATCTCTCATTAGAGACACCTAGTGGCTTTACTGCTTTACAATAATATTTACAATTTATTACAATGACATTTAATTTAAGCAATTTATAAATTTTTTAAGTCGCGGCACCAGTTCCGCTTGAGTCGTCTGGTTGGATCTCCGGGAAGTGCTGGTGTAGCAAGGTCCTTGATGAGCTGGTTGGGGACTTGAAATGCTTATAAAAAAAATTGTGACTGTGTATTTTTAATATTTTTCATCTGCCGTTGTAACAATATATTAGGAGCTTTCTATTAAATTGTCAATCTTTTTTACCCAACAAATAAAATGTTATTGACATTCATACAAAAAAAACTAAACAAATTGGAAACTGGAAATGTCCGTAAACAGTTCAAAACACATCAAAATATTTTGAAAATTGTATCGTATATAGAAAATGCTATAGTCATTTGTTTTAAATTAACTTACACAGACGCAAAAAAATAAAAACACATCACTGTAAAATGATAACATTCATCGCTCCGCTCAGAACCTAAAACGTTTATGAAGTTCTAACTCAAAATAGTTTGGAAATTTTTATGATTTTATTCTAATACTTTAGATGCCAATTAAAATATATTTACAGATACTTGTTTAATTAACTAATACCTATATGCTTTTGAAAATAGAAATTATAGGTACCTCTACAAATTTTTATGATTTTCTGGTGGTGCAAGTGCCACATTTGCACCACCCAATTTAGGCCACTGCCTCCACTGGTTATTATACTCAAGATTATAATAAATATTAGATATTTCCCGAAAGGTATGCGTTTTCCCATCCATATGGCATCATTTTCCTTGCACGCGTATACATCATAATATTTTATCGTATGGTTTGATCGTGCAGTCCTTTGAACGGATACAGAGTGTAAGCAAATTATATTATTTTTTTCTTAATTTTTCCGCGGCAACTTAGGCCATTGGGAAGGGGGTAGTACTGTAGGTTCTTATGGAACTGTAGGTTGGTTTTACACGTGGTTGAGAGTTTTGGCAGAATTTCTATTGGGGCACCCGTAGATTCCTGCCATGCCCCGGAGTGGGGGATGGYGGCAATTATAATATTATTATCATACATTGTTTAGTAAACCGACTCTGTCGAATTCAGTTTTTTTCCGATGTCGACTTTCCCCCGGTGGTGTGTTGACAGACCGTTTTAATTTAAACGGAATGCGCGCACGTTCCAAGAYGTGAAGACGTCCGCCGGCGGTCGATCGGAAAATTCCGGGCGCGCCGCGAGCAGAAAAAAAATATGAGCTCATCGTGCTCGTCGCCCACACTCGTCACGATATGCTATTCACCTCACCAGTAGCTCCGTGCAAACAGTCCTCCCAATAACTGCCGAATTATTAATATTTTTCAACTCCCAAATCTGATTGTTGGCATTTCCACGACAACGTTACAATATCACACCGTGTTACTATGCAATGTGATAGGTATTATGTTATTTCTAGTTGCGCYTATCTTGCRCGTCGTAAATTACGTGAGATTTTATTATTTTAATCTACGCATCGTTTAATTTAACCTGTATACTGACCACTTAACATATATTTATATTACATTAAAATAGGCGAAACTTATACACATTTTTAGGGGAGGCCCTCTACCAATCTTAAAAATTAGGGTACTAAAATAGTAGTAATAAATGTACCTACTTTAGAAATTCTCAGATTGAGAAAACCTTAATTCTAATATATATAAGTTTATAATTCTTTCAACCCCGTCGGACGYGGCGATCATCGCACCTGGCTCACACCACGAACACGTCAGCCRCCGGTGCGTTGGTTATCCACGTTTTGGCACCATTCAATACGTAAGACTTGGTGTCCACGTTGTACTTGGCTTTGCTCTCCATCGCYCTGCAGATGTCAATTCCGGCGTTCGGTTAGGTTAGGTAACTTGCACATACGCGGTAAGGTACACGTAACTGGTGACTGGTGGCTATGGTCGCTATCATAAACATCAAAAATTTTGATCTGTGGTTGTATTTATCTTATATATAATATAWATCCATCCATTGTAAATAGATCTAAGGTTGAGCCATGTGATCTAGAAATTTGAATACTTTAGATTTTTGAGTGTAGTGTGATCAGAATCTACTTGAGAAATTGTGAAAACATAATACTATATTGGTACACAACTTATAACTTTGAATACCAGTTTTCTCTTTTTTGTTTAATAGAAAAGTTTTTATTTTTCGTAAATTAAAAAATTAATATATTATAATGCGACATGCGTGCAGCAGAGGCATTAAACATTAAACCCGTTTAGCATTAAAATTAAAATCATAAAATTATTCTTTTAACAGTTTATGAAATAATCATATAATAAWTTATTGGTACCTATATTGAATAAAATATTATTTACATATTATATGTTATAGTTATCTATACAGGGTGTCCCGTGAGGATTTACCCATTGCGATATCTCCCGAAATAATTGTAATATCGAAATTCTGGTTTTGTAATAAGGCTCACAGGGATAAGAACTACAATTATTTCATATTTTAATGTTTTGGTAAAAASGTTAAAAAATATACTTTTTTATTTCATTATTTAAAAAAAAATTAAAGATAGCCATTTTGCAGAGTTGAAAATATTGACGTTTCAAAATTTTATTTTCATTAATTTCCTGATTTTTAATATTTTTTTTAGTTTCGAGAAAAATTGCGAATTATCTAACACCGTAATGTTATCAAACATATTGTGACCCACCGCGCCGCGCGCATTCCCATACGGCCGGCCGAATACTTTCCGTGTTCCTAATAGTTATAAATTAATAATTATATTTTATTTCTTCAAAACTAGAAAAAATATTAAAAATCAGAAAATTAATGAAAATAAAATTTTGAAACGTCAGTATTTTCAGAAAAATAAACTCTACAAAATGGCTATCTTAAATTTTTTGGAAATAATTAAATAAAAAAATATATTTTTTAACTTTTTTACCCAAACATTAAAATAAATTTAAAAATGAAATAATTGTAGTTCTTATCCCTGTGAATCTTATTWTAAAACCAGAATTGTCCATTATTTCGTTAGATATCGCAATGGGTAAATCCTCGCGGGACACTCTGTATAATATGCTGATAATATATTATAACCATGGATATTAAATAATAATTAGTTTACAATCTTATTCTTAGGTTTTGGATACTGATGAATGTTAGGATTCAYARACCACTTCGCTGAAGTTSATAATATTTGTGYTYWTTCATCTGTTGTAAATATAAATCTAWATARACACTTAGTACTTAGTAATGTAATAGTTTAATACCTATATTATAGGTACTATAACTATATAGCATTAAAGTAGAATATTTTATATTAAATCATTTTACATATTTAATCAACTTAAATATGCATTGTTTACAATTGTTAAGTAATAAATTTAATAATAACAATAAAAATACTATTAACATGCACTACCTATCGATAATAAATCT